AAATACAAATGTTTCGGGGCGCCTGCGCCTTTTTCCGGCAGATAATAATGGCGGTTTATAAGAGGATAGCCCCTTGCGGGCCGCGGGTGGCCTGCCGAGCCTCTACCGGCTCGGCTATCTACCATCGGCCCGTCGTCGGTTATTACCAAGCTTTGCCTTACGGCCTGGCGGACATGCCCTACCTACACGCCGAGCCGGCTGACGTAGGCGGGCCGCACACGGCAGTTCGGCAAATCGCTTTCGGTCCGTTGTCGGACCAGACAGTTCGTGTTTGTTGGGATAGGTAATAAAGAATAGAGTACCGATAGTTGTGGGAGTGCAGTGTGAGCAGTTACTTCAGGAGAACCGTCATAGAAACATTAATAAAGAAGTATAAGTTTTTTTGACAATAGACCTATCTAATCTATTTTGCGTCCATCCATGCTTCCGTCGAACTACGTTCAATATGACGTCACGAGTTTCTTGCGAAAGCGTTTGTGTTCATGAAATCATGGAAGTAGCTCGTCACGAAAATTCGGTTTATGTTGGACTTACGTATAGCATTTTTTAGGACGCAAAACCTGAATATGGACAGCTTTTCACTATGGCTGCTATAGGGCGCTTCACAATTCTCTTCTTATGGTTTAAAATGGCCTTAATTTTTTTCTTAGTGTAATTTTTTGCTTCTTCTTTTAAGTAAAAATGTGTGAACATTTTTAGGCAAAAAAGGTATTCTTGTCAAAATCCGTTTAAGTGACCCGTCTTTGAGATATTTCCGTTTTTGGTTTCGATGCCGCACCGAAATATTATTGAGATTATTTTGAAATCAAAAAATTTTGCTGGTACCTTTAAGGATGAAATGTGTTTAGTCATATAGTAGTGTCAAAACGGATTTTTTTAAGATACAGCAATACTTTTTTTTGTACTTTAAGAATTTTTGCTAGGAGTCTTTGTTGTTTACATTAAGCGTCTCAGTGAGAATTTGCTAATGCGAGAATAAATAAGGTGTGAAGGTAGACCAGACGCTTAGGTTTAGAGGTAGGAGTATCCAAGGATGTAGTTCATAGAACATTAAAAGAACAGCTGCTTCATCGCCACAGCATATCCAAGAGTTACACGACCTTTCGGCTCTGGATCTCGATCAACGATTGGGATTCTGTCGATTCATTACCGACTTCTCATTCAAAAAAAATGCAATCCCAAATTCTTCCCGCAAAAGTTACTTAAAGTGAACGAAGTGAAATGAAAACGTTAGGACACTTACGTTCTTTAAAACCCTATATATTCATATGGAAAACGTCGCCATTTTGTGCCCACCCTTTGGTAAATTTTAATATGAATATACCGGGTGCCCACGAGATCACTTTCCGGCTGCCATTTTGTTATTTGTTCATCAATATCAACGAAACTTGGTAGGGTTGATATTCTAACCAAACGCCATTTTATGAAAAGAGTTTTGTCCAAATTTTGTTTTCAAATTAAATTTCATTTTTTTAACTATAGAGTGCCATAATCATCCTGAAATGACTCTACATACTTTACTTAATTTCAGAAAAATACAAACTCAATTTTATCTTTGTAAACTTTTTTGATAGAGGGCTGCAAACTTCATTATTTTAGTATTTTTGCCCTAGCTCAAAAACTAGAATAGAAACATATCACTTTCATAACATTACTAAGGTCCGAATTTATAGTCGGTCCTTCGCGTTTCCTCAGACCTTAAAGGAAGTGTGACCCTAAAAAACGACTTGAGTTACTTAAATGAAGAAAAAAAAATCTAAGATCTCTCGTGAAAACCGCAGTCCTATATTCAAAATAGTCTCCGAGAAAACTCCTTGTAAAGATAAATTATGCAGGAGCTTATGATGTCACAACCGCCAAAATCGCAGTCTTCTGTTCGTTCATCCGTCAGTGGACTGACCCTATACTTTGAGTGGTTGAAATTCGCTCTAGTGAAATAATTGTCTTTTGTTTTGAAAAATTCTTACACGTGTTAATACTGTTCCTGATAATCCAGTGTGACGTCACAAACACCAAGTTGTAACTGTTGTAAGTTTGAACCGCCCTAACTCGAAAACGGAACATCGTAGCAAAATGCGATTTAAATATTTATTCTTAGATTTTTTTGCACTAAAACTTTAATTTTTGGGTCACACCCCCTTTAAGGAAGCCTTGAACGTTTAGAATTGACATGATTAATTATTTGTCAAATAGTAGCAAGTGTCCATTCTAAACTCGCGACCTCAAGGAAGATTCAAGGAACGACTATAAATGGCCGTTTTCGATTCGCAATCGGTTCGGCCTTGGTTGGTTCGGATGTGACAGAAGTTGGTTGACATCTTTTGAATTTGGTCTGTCAAAAAAGGCGCCATGTTTTAAGGTTATAAAAGCAAACCGAAATTCAAACCAAAATTCGAACCAACTTGCGAAGCTGGTTCGAATTTAGACGGACCAAGCGATGCCTGTCACGTCACCGGTTTGCAATCGAAAATGGTTGGTTCTAATTTGGTTTGCCTTGATGACGGACCAAAGCGAATCGAAAACAGCCAATGTGGCCCTAAATGCAGTATTTTAAAGCGAATTCAACGATATAATACCGGGCTGTGATAATACACTACGACATTTTTCTTAATTTTCGTTCAAATGTTTTTGTTTTATTAGGTAGGTAATTTCTTTTTCTACTTAAAATTTAATTTGAAAACGAAATTTGGACCAAACTCGATTTAAAAGTGATACATTAGGACGTAAAACGATCTGTAGAATCCAAAAAACAAAAAATATACAGGGTGTGCCATTTGAAAATCAAAAAATTCGGTAATTTCCGGTGAAGCCGGAAGTCAGGAAAACTTGTCGTGGATGCATAAAAATGGCGTTTCGTTAGAATATCAAGCCTACCAAGTTTCGTTGATATCGATCTTTGAATATAAAACTACAGGAAGGAGCGTTGTCTATCTGTCACTACAAACAAAAAAGGGACGGAAGCGGCCATATTGAGCCTCCAAGTTTGACTCATCATTTGTTTTTGTGGTTCGCTGTGTCCTCATTCAAGTGGATGTTTAATGGATTTTAGCGGTTTTAAGTGATAGTAAGCACTGGGATTAGTGCGAAAAGAGTGAGTCATAATACTGACAATCATATTTAAATAAATATACGCCACTGCCAAACCGGAAACACTAGTCGGCCATATGCAACCTCCACATATTCTGGTCCCGCAGATTCCAGGTTATGCTCGTTCCTGTTGTTTTATATTCAAAGATATCGATAAACAAATAAAAAAATGGACATCCGTCGTAAAAAAACTGGAAACAACCTATTTGATGACTATTGACATAGGTACATCAAATGCGTTTTTTTTAAATTTTTTATGATGGAAATCCATTAAAATCCTATTCATTCATATTCAAATTTACCAAAGGGTGGGCACATAATGGCGGCGGGACAGTATTGTCGCCACTGTTTGTAAAGGTTTATCGTTTATCATCACTTGTTAACGCGAGAAAATGGAAGGTTTGAACCACAGTCGTATGGCAACGGAGAACAAAGGCATTTTCTCGCGGGGGGAATGGTTCGAACCACGGTTTAAACCAATTTGTAGATGACGTCATCACTTGTGAACGCGAGAAAATGGAAGGTTTGAACCACAGACTTATGTCAACAGAGAACAAGCCGTGAGTCTGGTTCGAACTTTTTTGAACCAGGTTCAATGTGACGTCACTATTTCAACGCAAGAATGTACAGGTTCGAACCTAATTGAACCGGATCGAACCAGTTCCACCGCGAGAAAACAGCTCAAGCCATGAGTCCGGTTGGAACTTTTTTGAACCAGGTTTAATGTGACGTCACTGGTTCAACGCAAGAATGTACAGGTTCGAACCTAATTGAACCGGGTCGAACCGGGCCACCGCGAGAAAACAGCTAAGGTAATTTCTTTTTTGTGGGTTGAGAACTTAGAGAAGGCACAGGCATCATCGCAACTCTACTCTATTTCTCTATTTAAAAAAAGGTGGCCTCTATTTCTTTGTTTGATAATGCTCCGTTATCAACTGCCAGTACTGGATTTTACTGTGCTGATTTTATTGTCATTTGCCGTTCCGATTTCAACCGCGTACTGTTTTGCTGGAAAAAAAGGTACAGCAGGGAGATTCTAAAATCACGATTCGACACATGACTCGACAACGGGAAGCTCGATATCGACCCTGTCGTCTCGAAAGGTATGATTCCAATGAGATTCCACCTAGGATCGTCGGAAAAAATCGTCTGGTTTTCGAGTCGTGTGTCGAATCGTGATTCTAGAATCCCCGTCCAGTAAATATTATTGACGTCACTGGCGCATTTAAAAGTTCATTCAGTACTGAATCAGTGTACTGAAAATAATATTCAGTAAATTCAGTACTGACAGTTGATGTCGGAACATACCAAGGATTATACACACTACTACTACAGGATAGCCTATTCTCATAAGGCCTTTGTGGAACAAATCTGGAGCCCCCCACCACACCAAATCACCGTTTGTGACGAAGGCAGCATGTCACTTTTCGCCTTGACGTAGGCTGTTTGCACTACAGGGGTGCGTTCGAAATCACCCTGGGCTTCACACCGAGTGCACACCAGCGTCGAATTATTCATGGCTGGTGTGCACTCGGTGTGACGCCCAGGGTGACTTCGAACTCCTGGTTATGATTCCGCGGACTGTTGCTTTAATGCATACTTGGTTTTACTAAATTAATTAACATTCTAAAACAACTCTTTTTCAGATTTCGTTTTCATCTTCCTCTTTGACTATTATGTTAATCAAAATCAAATAACAATTTTTTTCATAAATTTAAATTCTAAACTGCGACCGCTAGTGCAAACAGCTGACGACTTAGTTGTGACGTTGGAAATGGTGACACACCAATATGGCGGCAATTACCAAAAACGAGGCCGATAAGCAATCCTTACTAGTGTGTAATATCCTTGAGAACATAGCCCCCGTACTGGTTGTCACTTGTCATTCAGTTTGTTAAGTCAAGAATTCAGTCAGCTGATTGATTCCGGATTTCAGCTTATACCTCAATCCAATCCTCATTATTCCTCATTTGGATCGCAGAGACAACGCTCAATAAAAGGAACTACGATGAATTCGCTACGCAAAATAGGTCTTTCGTCTAATGCGGCCAAGTAAGTACGCTTTTACCCCATACAAACCAAAATATATCATTGAATTTAAGCCATATTCTATGGGAAATCACATTTTTTTTAGTTCGGGATCCCCAAACACCATAGTTACATAATAAATGATTGTTGTAGGAACCTCCGTTTCATGTCGCAGCTAGGAGACTTGGGAAGTGGAGCAGGTAAAGGCGGCGGTGGTGGTGGTACCATTAGGGAAGCTGGAGGTGCTTTTGGTAAAAATGAAGCTGCCAAAGAAGAAGAATATTTTTACAAAAAGGTGTGTATTTTGCTCTTCGTCTTCCGAAAGGGGCAATTAATTAGGATACCGCTTAAAGCCTAGTACTCATAACCGCGAATTACGAATTTTTATTTTACGGATTCATATTATATCAATACATATTTTTTTTGAGTGCGTTTAGCGAGAGTATACACCAATAAATGGTTAGCACCCTCAACTTTTTCATGAGCTCTCACCTTTTTGAAAACAGTTCTATAGTTCAACAAGGGATACAGTAATACCTTACTAGTTCTGCTGTGGAAGTTGAAAATTTTTAAAAATATAAAAAAAGGAGTGGGAACTGCATACCACACCCTTGCTTGATTTAAGAGGAGTTCTGATGACATTTATTGGTCTTGTACTAATAGACCATCAGATAGTGACAGATTTAGGTGCCCCATTTTCGCATACAAGCCTCGAAGAGGGTTGAAAAGTACATCGATTTTGAGTAGGATGAAGGTATTTTTAGGAGTGGCTCCTGGGGATAACATTTGGAAAATTCAATTTTACTTATGTTACCCTAAAATGTAATTTTCCATTTGGGACACTCAAGCCAATATCAACCCTCTTCGAGGCTTGTATGCGAAAATGGGGCACCTAAATATGTCAATATCTGACGGTCTATAAAGTTCCATAGTTCTTAAAGAGTTGCAGTAATTATTCTGCAGTAGGAGATGAAAGTTTTTTAAAAACGAAGATAGGGGTGCTAACTTCTGATAACATTTATACACGCACTTTAGTTCTATAGTTCTTGATAAAATATAGACTCGAATACAGTTATTATTTTGGCAGTCAGAAAATTTAATCGATAGGTAACAAAATAAATGACAAGAGTGTTATAAAAACAAATGATGTGATTGTCATTTTCATTTTGACTGTGACATGACATTGTCAGAAAAATTGGCTTACATCCCTAGTTCTGAACAAAAACAACAAAAAAGGCACATTAGTTTTCAAAGCTAGAACAATTCGGTATTTCAATAGGTATTCATTTATTAAAATATCTCTTCGGAGCTCGATGGTGCTACAGAGTTCTTGGCATCAAAGTGGTATTTGATTGCTCTGGTGAACAAAATGAGCATTCCATATAGGATTTTTTCATAGTTCTGAGTATCAGTATTTTGATAAGCAAGAACTCAGGGATGCTACTTGAATAACAACAGTTCTCAGCATCAAAGCGCTATAAGATTCTCCTTGTAGCTAAAATCTTCATTATTGAAGCTGGAACTTAGAGATGCTGCTAAAAGTTTTGGGTACTACTGGAAAAACGGAAGCTCTTGGCATCAAAGCGGAATGGGTGCCTGACACTGTGACACTACACCTGCATTCTCTAAATGTTTTTTTTTTATACTCTTTTTCAAAGTTCTTTATAGCACCTTTTAGTGTTTCAATATTCTTTTATTAAGGAGGTTTTCCTCATAGCACTCTACTCTATAGTATTTTGATATTCTTCTATTAAAATGTAGTTTTCATTTAAATAGCATTGGGTATTTCACAAACTAATTAGAAAACATGAAAGGAAACTGAGGACCGGTCTTGGCCTATACACATCTCAATTTTAATATTATTTGGTTGGGAAAATTTCTTGTTAAATAGACACATAGGTAGGTACTTATTTTGAATTATTTTTTTTTAGCAAAGAGAACAATTAGTCGAACTCAAGAACCATTTACATGACGAAATAGCTTTTCATGAGGAACAAATTAAGAGACATCAGGAAGCAATTGCACGTCATAAGGAGGGAGTGAAGAAAATTGACAAACATTAAATGATAAGGTGAAATAGTACCACTGCTTCTGTATAAACTTTATTTAGCTTTGTTTATGTAAGGTATTATACCGAGTATTATACCCATGTATTAATGTAGTCTGGGTTTTGTTAGAGTGTTAATTAGTAATACTTATTTAAAAACAATACATTTCAAAAGTTTTTATTTTGTTTCATTTTCAAAAAAAAAAAATCTCTAAATTAATAATAATTCTGATTTCATTATGTAGGTAAGTACTACTTATTACTATTACTGTCAAATTGATAATTGCGATAATTTTTGTTTATTTAAAACTGAAGACAGTGCACTAATGTGTTCTCCAAATCATGAACGTTTTTCTACATTAGGAAAATGTTTTTATTTTTAGTTTCTTCATCAAGGGAATTCCAAGTGTGTACACGATTACACAAAAAGTTTTTCTTTTTTGCCTGCATTGTTCTTTCCTTTTTCAACTTTTTATGGTGATCTCTGAGATTCTGTGAGTAGGTAGTTCTTTGGGAAAATGTCGTTTGGACAATATAGTCTGCAGCACGGGAGATAAAGGGCGACGCTTAAAGGGTAAGAGGGAGCAAATGCTCAGCAAACTCACTAAATTGATTGAGAAATACTTAATAACCTGTTGACTAGACAAAGGCAACAAATAATGTGGAAGAGTTGTGCTTGTTCACCTACAGGGCAAGGCGTGGGCAGTCTCATTCTATCAATCCTTTTCTTACATGTGGTGGACTATAGTAGCCAGTTAAGTCTCAATAAGACCATCACAACCTCTTCTAGCCTTTAATGTTGTCAAGTTGAATCTCTGTAGCCTTGTTTTGTATGGAAAGTTTTGTAGTTCAGAGGAAATTTTAGTTACTTGACGTCAGACACAGTCCATGATTTCAATGTCTTTTTGCGAAGTATGGTCTCCATACTGAGTGGTCGTATATACGTAATGAACAGCTTTTTTACCATCTCTATGGAACTATTGCAGAATGTGAATAAAAAATATTTGGTCCGTTGTAGCAGGTTTCCTCTGATGTCGTTATGATCAAGTTTTAAAGCGTCTTTAAAGCCAGTTTCTTAGTTGGAACTGTATGTAATGCTTTTTGAAAGTATAGGTAAATAGCGTTCATTGGTCTACCTTCATCAAATTCACTGCACCAATTATCCAGATGGCTCACTATTATTATTATTATTTGAACAACAAGCGGTAGAACCGATGGAGCTGCTGTATATTATATTAACTTCAAAATATTGCTTATTTAACAAGTTCACAAGATGCTTGTTAAGTAGTTTACATACAGAATAATGAATAAATGTCCCAGACATCAAACTGAGATAGCTATCCAGTCTATTTTTGAACGATTTGGTCTATTATTACTTAATGATTTCCACGTATAAACTATCACCCTATTGCACAAGAAGTTTAGAACATCTTTCCTTCTCTAATTTTCTAGAGTGCCCTCGAAGGCTTGTGGTTCTCGCTTAGAGTATATAGTGTGTCCACTTAAGTTCGCAGCACATGGGAAACTTTTTTATTATCAATTTTACGAAAAAAAGTTATTCTTTATAAAAGTTTCAGCTTCTTGAAAAAATACTAGTAAACTATTAAAAGTTGCAATAGCATGTACAGGGTGGTCAGAAAATAGAAAAATATACAGTTTTTTTTTGGTAAAAGTAGAAACAAAAATGGCACGTCACTATTTTTTTAAACCTTTGATATTTCTTTCAGATTAAGCAAGTTATATTACAGTCAAAGGATACCTTTCGTCATCACAAACAAACCTGCTTAATTTGAAAAAAAAATTGGGAAAGGGATTTTTGAGCTAAAAAAACGATTTTTTCTAAAACTTTGACATCGTGTATCTCAGAAAATACGCATTTCCGGACCTATGTTTATGGGAACTTTTTTTCTTGAAATATTGTAAGGTGATTCCTTACAGTATTCAAAATTCAGAAGTTACGAACCGTACTTCGGAAACATCCTGTATATTTTTCTATTTTTTTAACCACCTTGTACATGCTATTTCAAGTTTCAATAGTTTAATAGTATTTTTTCAAGAAGCAGAAACTTCTCTAAAGAATAACTTTTTTTCGTAAAATTGATAATAAAAAAGTTTCCCATGTTAAGTGGACACACTGTATATTCAAGTTGACAGAGTATTAGTAAGAAGAATTAGTAATTCTTCTTTGGACTCTTTCCGATGCCTCAATGTCCTTGGCATAATAAGGATTCCAGACTGACTGGGCTAGAATGGGTTTGATGTAAGACTTGTATATTTTTAGGATTGTAGTAACTGAGTGATCCTTGAATGCTTTTTGCGTCAGGTAGGCCCGAGAATTAGCCTTTCTAATACATTTTGAGATATGCGCTTTTGATTTTAAATTGTTGGTTACAGTGACGCCAAGATCTCTCTCTGTTCATTAGTAGATATCGGGTCTTCAACAAAAAAAACCAATCGAAGATTGCTTTGATTACGAAAACGTACGTCGCATTGTTTATGTTATTGGTGAGGATTTTTGACATGACATTTTTTAAAGTTCATTGACAAAATTAAAGACATACGTTTAAAAAACCATAGCAATATTCGATTGTTTTTTCTTTGAAGGACCCGATACCATCGTAAATCGTAATGTTATTGAGTCTTTAATCATATAGGGGATTGTTGGTGCCAATTGGAGTACAGCCCAACAAACACAAGTACGTCTTTAGAACCAGTGGCGACGCCAGGGGGGGCCGGGGCCCCCCCTGAAATTTAGCCGCCCCCCCCCCCTGAAAATTTGCGCTTGTGCCAAAAGTCGCATGAAAAAAGTCTACATCAAAAATATGACAAAATGTTATACAGGGTATACCATTTAAAACGAAACATGCCACGTTTATTTTTTCAAAAATCGCTCGTACACGTAATTTGATTTTCAAAGGGGGAAATTTTCTGAAACCATTTTTAGCACTTCAACTTTAACGCTCTGGGCGGGGTGGGACCAACCCTCACTATTTTAAATGGGACAAGGGGTCGAGTGATACCTCTTTTAAAAGAGTATTCAATTTTCTTCCATTTGATGTCATTTGAAAGAAAATTGAACGGTCTTTTAAAACAGGTATCACTCGACCCCCTGTTCCATTTGGAATGGTAAGGGTTGGTCCCACCCTCCCTAGAGGGTTAAGTTAGTGCTGAAAATGTTTCAAACACTCACACAATCAAATTACGTGTACGAGCGATTTAAAAAAAATAATAAAAGTGGCATCAGATATTCAGCCTGTTTCGTTTTAAATGGTATGCCTTGTATATGATATACCTATATACAATAGTTGACAGGTCGCAAAACTCAAGATTCTGGTATTTTAATTATGTTTCAATAGTTGCTAGGGAATCAATGAATAACAATACGGGAATCACTTTTCCGGCCTAGGCCGGCAAAGTGATTCTCGTACTGCTGAATAATTGGAACAAAAAGATAACCATTTAACAGATATTTAACCGATCGCAGAAAAAATAGTATGTGTATTTCGGTGGAAAAGCACATTCTCAGCCTTCGGTAGTGTTTGCCGGCCTCGGCTACGCCTTGCCTGTCAACTTTGTCACTATATGTGTCACTTTTTCACCTAAATACACATTATACTATTTTGTAGTCTCTAACATTTTTTTTTTTTTAAATCGGACTCAGTTGACATCTTGTTTATCTCACTGTTGCTGAGTGTTGCTCTGATGCACCAGAACTGAAACTGGAAGCGTCCAATTCGTCGTGGTTATGCACAATTGTTTCAATTGCTTGTTCTTTCGAAAACTTCTCTAAAAATATTGTGGGCTCGTTTCGTCTAGGAGACCTTACTGATTCAATACCATCCCCTAAATGGTATTTCATTTTTTTCACTACATATTTGTTTCTCTCTCATATCGTCAATGGGTCAATGCCACTAATTTCACGATATTTTTTGCCAATTGATTTTGTGCTGTATCCTTCACCTTTTTCCAAACCCCTCTCCATTTCCTCAAAAAGTTTTCCTAATGCTTCATTGTCTGTTTTTTTAATCTTATTATTTCCAACCGATTTTTTGTTAAGATTCCGTAACACCTTGAAACGCAAGCGGCATGACATTTTATTTTCGAGGCAATTATAAGTCGTTGTCTCCAGTTCTCACAAAAAACACAGGGTTGCATCGTGATATCATTCCTATTTTTTCTTGCATATTATTAGTCATGACTTGGCATATTTTTTGATTCTGTGATCGCTTCTGACAAAAGACGCACTTCTGTGAATCAAGTGTTCGCAAGGGAAGTTCCATAGGAATATTTCCTTTACAAAAATCAGCTGTCAGTTTAGTATTTTTTGACTTGTACGAGGTAATGTTCTTTGAACTCGTATACGATTTATAGTAGTTTTTGTGCGTTTTGAAAAAATCTTGATTTTTTAGATCATCAAACTTTCGAAGAATATATGCCGCATATATTTATCATCATGACAATTTGTCATACGTTCTTTCGTGCATTCAATAGAAACTTTTTTTCGATTTTTCTTGAGATTTAACCAACTTTCCTCCTTCCAAACAAATAAGACACAAATTTTGAAAAAAAACATCTTGACCAGTATCAGTTTTACGAAAAGAAACACGCCTTAATTTGATTTTTGACTCAAGTTCACTGTCAGTGCTGCTGCTGCTGCTGCTGTTCGTTAAATCCATTCCTGGACAAATACAGAAAAAAAAACCACGCCACTGTGCTGTCGTTCAGGCTCTAACTTAGCCTCTAACCAATAGAATCATGCCTCTGAATAATCCCGCCTCTCCACATCCATCATTTCGCAATGTTGCCGGATTTTTTTCTATTTCAAAATACTACACATGCCCATAGCAGAAAAAAAATATGTCACCAATTTGTTTATTACTGGTTTCCGTCAAGTTTGGCAAAGCAGCAAATTCTATTGCAGTTCGCCGTTTGGCTAGCCAGACAATAGTTACGGTCTATTTTAAAATAAATAAAAAAAACAAAGACACTTTTTTTTATTTATTTTTTATTTATTTATTAATGGCAAACCATTTTACAACTTTACAGCTTTACAGCTTTAAAGCTGATTCTAACAAATAAACAATTCAATATACTGCATAAAACATAAAATATAAAATATAAAAAAGACCTACACAACTTCCAAATTTTAGATTCCCATCTTTACGCTTTTTCCTTGCTTTGTTTAAAAACCTACCTAT